CGACCCTCGTCTCTCGCCCTTCCCTCTTCCTTCGGCCAGGCAGCCTTCCTTCCCCCTCTTCCTGGAGGTCGGGCCTCCTGCCCCTGTCCGCGGGACCCTCTCCCTCCTCTGGCCAGGTAGCCTCCTTCCCTCTCTCCTCTGGGTCCCGCCCGTCATTTTTTTTCTCTGGCCCTCTGGTCCTGGGCCCCTCTCGCTTCGGCCGCTGGCGGCCGTCCTGGCCTCCTGAGGCCTTCGGACCCTCGGTGCTGGGCGCAGCGGCCTCGCTGCGCTCTTGTTGCGGCAAAGTCCGCAACCTCCGCGGCAACTGCCGCTGAGGCACTCGGCCGCGTCGCGGAAGCGACTTTGGGCTGCGCTCGAAAGGCTCGAAAGGAGGATGGAGAGGAGGGGGAGGAGGAGGAGGAGGAGGAGGAGGAGGAGGAGGAGGAGGAGGAGGAGGAGGAGGAGGAGGGGGAGGAGGAGGAGGAGGAGGAGCGGCGTCGGTCGGCAGAGGCGGAGGCGGCGGCGGATACGGCGGGTGGCGCGGCGCCGGCAGTCGCCCAGGACGGCCGTCTGGAGGGCGGTCGGGAGGGCCGTCGGGGGCGCGGGGGTGGCCAGCGAGGTCGTCGAGCGCGGTGTCAGGGACAGCGTCGGCTGGGACACCTCCCGGACGAAGTGGACCCCACCCTCCCCCTCAGAAATCGGGGGGGGCAGGGGTAGGGTTCGCATGTGGCCCCCTAACCTTTCCCTGCGTCTGGGAGCCTTCGGAATCCATCACGGAGAGAGGGGCGCGAGAGGCCGCTGCGCAGGAGCACGAGCCGAAACCAGCTGCACGCAGCAGATTTCGTACCCCCCCCGTTGCCGATCCCCCCCTTTCGTTCGGCCCGAGCCTGGGTCCTCATCGCTGGCCCCAAGAGCCTCCTGACCCCTTCCCCCGGGGACCTCGCCTTCTGACGGCCACGGGGCCCGAAAGCAGAGGCACCCAGGCCCTAAGATGCCCGAGGACGGCGAACAACATCCGCCTTGAGCTTCCCGAGGCGCTGGAGGCCTAGGCTGGGAGGTAAAAAATCAGCCCCTGCACGTGTCCAAGAGCGATCCCCGGCAGGTGCAGCTGCGGAACCAGCCCCGGCCACCGGGGTGCCATGGCAAGCCCAGGAAGACCAAAAGCAGATTCCAAGGCACGCATCCCCTGTCCTCGCCCCTCCCCCGAGATGGGGATGGAAACAGTGGGGACGGAGACCGACTCACGGTCCTCTCAATTCCGAACAGGGTTCATTGTCAGTACCGCCGCAGACGTTTCCCATTCGGGGCGATCGTCGACTGCCGCGCAGCGACTGCTGTCGGCGTTTGGGAAACGTCTGCTGTCGGGCATGGTCCCCGTCGTTCTGCCTCCACTCTGGGCGTGCCCTGCAGGCGAGGTGCCCCACCGAGGTAGACGGCGTGGCCAAAGAGCCTACTCTGGACCGCTTAATAATCGCCCCCCCTTGGAGTGCCCGGGGGGGTTGGCCGCGGCGCGTCCGTGGGGGTGCCAGGGGGGAGGTCTGGGGTCCCTTCCCCGCTGGGGCGCGGGGGTGGTGCAGGGGGGGTTTGGCTGGCCGCGCCCCCCCCGGTTGATTATAAGAAGTTCTGAATACACAGACAGACATGACCGCACCCACCAGGCGGCCCCGTGGGCTCGGACTCCCAGAGGGACGCGTACAAGACCGCTGCCCCCCGGCCGGGGGAGTCGGGGCCCACGGGGGCGGCGGGGGAGGGGCCAGCCCGTCGGGTGACAGCTGTGCATGGATGGCCCGGCCGCCAGCCCGCGGGGACGAGGAGGAGGACGAGGAGGAGGAGGAGGAGGAGGAGGAGGAGGAGGAGAAGGAGGAACAGCAGGAGGAGGAGGAGGAGGAGGAGGGGGAGGAGGAGGGGGAGGAGGAGGGGGAGGGGGAGGTTCTCGAGGCCGGGGGATTGTGGAGTCGCTGTGGGTTTAGACGAAAATTTACGATATTTCAGTTTGTTCCTCATCATTATGCTGATGTTTCCTTTCTCGTTTTCTCTCTCTCTCTCAATCTCTCCCACTCCCATTCCCATTCCATTCCCATTTCCAAAACCATTACCATTACCATTACCATTCCCATCCCAATTCCCACTCCCATTCACATTACCGTTACCATTACCATTACCTTTACCTTTATCTTTACCTTTACCTGTACCATTACCATTACCATTGCCATTACAATTGCCAATGCCATTGCCATTGCCATTACAATTGCCATTATCATTGCCATTGCCATTGCCAGTGCCGTTGCCATTGCCATGGTATTGCCATTGCCAGTAGCCACCCCGTTACCATTACCGTTACCATTACCATTACCATTACCATTCCCATTACCATTACCATTCGCCACCACCATTACCATTGCCATTATCATTAGTATTACCAACACAATTGCCATTACCATTACCATTACCGCTGTCATCACCATTACAATTCCCATTCCCATCATCATTGTCATTACCATTACCGTTACCAGTACCATTTCCATTACCATTGCCATTATCTTTCCCACTACCACTACCATTTCCATTCCCGTTCCCGTTCCAATTACTACTACGATTCCCATTCCCATTCCCATTCCCATTACCATTACCATTACCATTACCATTACCATTACCATGGCCATTACCATTGCCATGGCCATTGCTATTGCCATTGCCGTTGCCGTTGCCATTGCCATTCCCATTACCATTGCCAATCGCTACCCCGTTACAATTGCCATAACCATTACCATTACCGTTATCGTCACCATTACCATTCCCAGTACCATTATCATTACCACTGTCATTGCCATTACCATTACCATTGCCATTGCCATTGCCATTCGCCACTACCATTACCATTGCCATTCGCCACTACCATTACCATTACCATTGCCATTGCCATTGCCCTTCGCCACTACCATTACCGTTGCCAGTACCATTACCATTCCGATTAACATTCCCATTCCCAATACCATTACCATTACCATGACCATTACCATTACCATTACCATTACCATTCCCATTACCATTACCATTACCATTACAACTGCCATTGCCATTACCATTACCATTACCTTTACCTCTACCTTTACATTTACCCTTACCCTTGCCATTCCCATTTCCGTTACCACTACCATTGCCATTTCCATGCCCGTTCCCATTCCCATTCACATTCCCATTCCCGTTCCCATTCCCATTCACATTACCATTGCCATTACCATTACCAGTGCCATTGCCATTGCCATGGCCATTACCATTGCCATTGCCATTCCCATTGCCATTGCCATTGCCATTGCCATTGCCATTACCGTTGCCGTTGTCATTGTCATTGCCACTGCCAACCGCCACCCCGTTACCACTATCGTTACCGTTACCATTACCAGTACCAGTACCATTACCTCTGTCATTACCATTACCATTCGCATTGCCATTGCCATTGCCATTAGCCACTACCATTACCATTGCCAGTACCATTTCCATTGCCATTCCCATTCCATTACCATTACCATTACCATTACCATTACCATTACCATCACTATCATTTCCATTACCATTACCTTTACCTCTACCTTTACCTTTACCCTTACCCTTATCATTCCCATTTCCGTTACCACTACCACTACCATTTCCATTCCCGTTCCCGTTCCTATTCCCATTCACATTCCCATTCCCGTTCCCATTCCCATTACCATTGCCATTATCATTACACTTACCATTGCCATTGCCATGGCCATTATCATTGTCATTGCCATTGCCAATATCATTGCCATTGTCATTACCGTTGCCATTGTCATTGCCATTGCCAATCGCTACCCCCTTACCATTACCATTACCGTTACCATTACCAGTACCAGTACCATTACCTCTGTCATTACCATTACCATTACCATCACCATTGCCATTGCCATTCGTCACTACCATTACCATTGCCAGTACCATTTCCACTCCCATTCCCATTACCATGATACTACCGCTGCCATTACCATTAGAATTCCCATTCTCATTCCCATTCCCAATACTATTACAATTTCCAGAACCATTACCATTACCATTACCAGTGCCATTACCATTACCACTACCACTATCATTTCCATTCCCGTTCCCGTTCCCATTCCCACTTCCATTCCCATTACCATTACCATTATCATTACCACTGCCATTGCCAGTACCATTACCATTACCATTACCATTACCTTTAACTCTACCTTTACCTCTACCCTTACCATGACCATTACCATTGCCATGGCCATTACCATTGCCATTGCCATTGGCATTGTCATTGCCATTCCCATTGCCATTGCCATTGCCATTACCATTACCATTACCGTTGCCATTGCCATTGTCATTGCCTCGCTACCCCGTTACCACTATCATTACCGTAACCATTACCAGTACCATTACCAGTACCATTACCATTACCATTACCATTGCCATTGCCATTGCCATTGCCATTCGAGGATTTCAGTAGGAATCATTCAGTGGAGGGTTTCAGTAGGAATCCACATGTGGAGGATTTCGGTAGGAATCATTCAGTGGAGGGTTTCGATAGGAACCCTTCTGTCGAGGATTTTACTGTGAATCCTTCTTATGGGGGCGTCCAATAGGAATCCTTCTAGGGGGGAGGGCAGATGTGGTCACGTCGCATTCCTTTTTTTTTTCTCCTGGCGCCCCCCCCCCAGAAAAAAAAAAACTGATTTTTTTTGTTTTTTTTTCTGGGGGGGGGGCGCCTGGAGAAAAAAAATAAGAGGTAGCAGGAGGGAGAGGAGGAGGAGGAGGAGGAGAGGAGGCGGAGGAGGAGGAGGAGGAGGAGGAGGAGGAGGAGGAGGAGGACGACACAGAGCAGAGTTTGCACAGAAACAGTCGCGAACTCAGCGCGAAACCCTCGCGCGCGCGCTTTTGAACCCCTGCGACTCCACAATCCCCCGTTCTCGAGGAGGAGGGGGGGGAGGGGGGGAGGAGGGGGAGGGGGAGGAGGGGGAGGAGGAGGAGGAGGAGGGGTCCTGATCAGAGGTGCCCAGCCAGGGGTCGTCGCACTCTGCGCCTGCCTGGCCCAGTACCTGTATGCGCTTGCCAGGGTCGAGCTGGCCTAGGCGGACGACGGCGGCGGCGGCGACGGCGACGGCGGCGGCGTCGACGGCGGCGGCGACGACGGCGGCGACGAGTCCGCCGATGGCCTCCGACGACGGCTGACGACGACGGACGGACGACAGTGGCGACTGCGACGGCGACGCTCGAGGATCGAGGCTTGCAGGCGGTCTTGGCCCTTTGTACGCCTGCAGTGGCCGCTGGGGCCATCCGAGGACGGGAGCGGCGACGTTGACAACGACAAGGACCAACACCACCACAACGACGACCAAGACGACGACAACGACAACGACAACGACGGCCGCCACCACGACGACGACGACGACGACGACGACGACGACGACGACGACGACGGCGGCGGCGGCGGCGGCGGCGGCGGCGGAGACCACGATAACCTGACTGGGTGGGTGGGGCGTCGGGGGCGCAGACAGGGGGCGCGCGATCCGCAAGGGCCCGGGGCGGCAAGGCTAGACCTCGCCCCCGCGGAGGGGCCCCTCCCTTGATGACTTGTTTCCTAGACTCAACGCTGGTGTACAGTGCGCAGTGTGCTGCCTTCACGGCTCCGAGGCAAATGGCTGCGGAGGTGGGGAGCGTTGCGGCAAACCTGTCTCTCCCGCCTGTGCTAAACTGTGTACGCAACTGTGTGCGGCAAGGCTGGACCTCCCTTTTGCCTACCCCCTTCCTCGTTGCGTCTCAGTTAGGGTCTAGGTTGATACCCACCCGCCACCCACTTGTCGAAAGCGCAGAATTCATAACAAGAGTCCGAACTCCGATGCCGTCAGATCAGCCTCCCCCGACCCCCATTCCCTCTTACCCTCCATCCACATCCCTCATCCATCTCCTCTTACCCCATCCCCACCCCATGCTTCTTTATCGAAACCTCTGGAAACAGCTGGGGCCTGCCAGAAATGCAAAATCAAAAGAAATCATACGCGGAATCCCCGATATGCGTATCACAGCGAGTCTGAGCACGATTGGTTGAATATGAGTGAGCCTCCGTGTGAGCACCTGGGTGTGAGTGGGCCAGGGTGCAATGAGCCTGCGTTGTGTGGCTGGAATATAAAGCGCGTCTGGGCAAGAGTGGGATCGAATGTGATTACGTCGGATTACGAGTACGTCGTGGGGAACTGCCCGCCACATCGCGATGACCGCTGGGCTCTGAAAAGAGACGCGCTTACTACTCCGCCAGAACCCCTTGAAGCCAAGGTCTGGTCGGCACCCCCTTGGGGGGCCCAAGTGTCATTACCTGCTACATCGCGATGCTCACGGAGCTCTGACAGGAACTGCGCCTACCCCACCACAGTAGCAGAGGTCCCACGAATCTGGGCGCGAACGGGCCTGCGCAACACCGCAGGTTGACCCCCCTTCGGAGCCGATATGATAGGCTTGCGACCCCACGAAAACAGGTGTCACAAAAGAGAGATACCACCAAACTGGGCGCGAACGGGCCCGTGCAACACCCCCAGTCGACCCCACTTGCAAGGCCCAGGAGCCACGCCTGCTACATCGCAATGATCACGAGGCTCCGAAAAGAGGCACAACTCTCCAAAGACATGCTTTCGACCCGACGAGTCCCAGCATTCCTGGGCGCGAACGACAGCACCCTGGGTTGGCCAATCGCGGTGACCATGGGAATATGACAAGAGATGCGCGACTCCCCGAAACTCACGCACTCTACCTGAGAGGTCCCATCCATCTGGGTGCGATCGGGCCAGTGCAACACCCCATATCGACCCCTGCATGGCAGGCCAAAATGTCATGCCTGCTACATCGCCATGCTCACGGTGCCCTGAAAGGAAACACGCGATTCCCCGAAATCGCGCGTTCTACCTGAGAGGTCCCATCAATCTGAGCGCGAAAGGTCCCGCGCAACACCTCAGGTCGACCCCCCACACACACCTTGGGAGACCCACGTGACGTGCCTGCTACATCGCGATGATCATGGAACTGATCAAAGGGACACACGAATCCCCGAAAACAGACGATCTACCCGAGACGTCACTCCGATCTGGGCGCGAACGGGCCCGTGCAACATTCCAGGTCGACCCCCCCATTGGGAGACCCAAGTGCCATGCCTGCTACATTGCGAGATCTCAGGATCCTGACAAGAGACGCGCGGCTCCTCCAAAAAGGCGTTCTACCTGAGAGATCCCACCAATCTGAGTGCGAGCGGGCCCATGCAACACCCCATGTCAACCTCCCCTTCAGGGACACAAAAGCCATGCTGGCAACATGATGATGCTCACAGGGCGCTGACAAGAAACCCGCGACTCTCTGAGAATGCGTAGTCTACCTGAGAGGTCACACCCATCAAGTCGACCCCCTAAACCTTGGGAGGCACAAAATGCCGTGCCTGCCACATCGTTATTTCTGAAGTGGGAGATGCGACTCCCCGAAAATAATGTGTATATAGATGGGCATGAAGGTCTTTGAGTACGAGTGTCTGGGCGAGGATGAGTATGAATGCGCCTGAATCTGGGTATGCGTGGTTGGTACTGTCGAACCTGAGTGAGATTAGGAATGATGACTGTGTACGAGTGAGTCTAAGTGCGTGTGTCGTCGAAGTAACGGTGAGTCTGAGTGCGAATAAGCCTGAGCGAGAGTGAGTCTGGGGTGTGAGTGGGCCTGAACGTGAGCGAATATGTGTATGAGCGAGCACTGGAGCGAAAGGTCTGAGAATGACTAGCCGAGTATGAGTGAATCTGAGTGTAAGTGGATATGAGGATGAATGAACGTGACTGAGCATGATAGGGAACACGCGGAAGGAGGAAGGAAGAATGGAGATGAGGCGGAGGCGTCCGACTGATAACAAGAATCCCGACTTGAGGCTATACAACTACAACTTTCAAGGAATCAGCAAGCGTTCGGCCGCAAGAACAGACAAACGACCCAAAGACAAACTCTGCACGGCTCAAGGACATCCAAAACAAGTCGATCATGTCAACAAACATCCAAAAACGTTCGAAAACGCTCGAACGCACATTCTCTCTCACAGCTGGCTCACATCGCGATGATGTCGGCAATTGGTCTCTGACACCACATGGATCATTCAACCATGAGCGATCGCCGCTCTCAGATAGCTCAGACCGTTCAGTGTCGGCCGATTCTGGGGCACTGGCGGCGTTCAAGCTGGAATCCTAACAGCCTACCAGACCTTCGGGCGTAGGTGGTCTGGCGAGCTGTTTGTGCCTTGCTGCCCTTCGGGGAAGAAGGGTGTGCCAACTGATCCACCTCAAGAAGCACCCCCTCTCCTACTCGACTGGCCGCCAGCCAAGGTCAACGCCACCCGCCTGCCCACCATCCCATCCCAAAACTAATCCACAGTGCCGCGTTGTGGCGCTCAACGCGGGTCATGCGGGCCACGGCGTCTGAATGCCAGAAGCCCGGCGCCCGAGCGGAGGGGGCCGCCGGGACGCTCGTCGCGGGCGAAACGTGGCGCGTCGGAGAAACGATTGTCAATGTGGGGAGCGGGGAAGGGTGACAGGGTCTTCGATGGAACAGCAAGAAAAGGCATGAGCATAAACTTTCAACGGGCCGCGCCGGACCCCCCTTCCTGGCGCGCGGAGCGCGCCAAGGGCGGCGCCGGGGGCGCTGCCGAGGGGATCCCAACGCAGATCTCGGAAACCCGCGCGTTCAGCGCGCCAGAAATTTCTGTCTATGCCGTTTTTTTGTTGTTCGATGCGAAGGCGCCTGGGAGGGGGGGTGCCGTGGCGCCGCTGGGGGGGTCCCAACGCGAAATCCGCGCGCTGAGAGCTGAAAGTTTCTGTTCATGCCGTTCCTGTGCTCTTCGATGCGAGGGCGCCTGGGGGGGCCATGGTTCACTGCACCGTCCTTGCAGACGTGCCGCAGCAGACTCGTGCGTGGAATTCTGTCGACGCAAAGCCCCGAAACGGCGAGCGAAAAACGAAGTGAATTTTACGTGCGTTTCTGTTCGTCTTCATTCCTGGCCCAGAAAAATGCGCACGAAATCCACTTCGAGATCCAGAACAAGATTCTCCAGGACACTCCGGGCCCATTCGATTGAAATCCGAACGAAATCCGCTCTGCGATGTTGGCGCCATGGGAGGGGTGAGGGCCGTGAACCTGCCCAGACCCATGCCCCATGGCCCCCTGCTCCACCTCTGCTTCCCGACCGGGAGGAGGAGGGGGAAGAGGAGAAGGAGGAGGAGGAGGAGGAGGACGTGTCGTTCCTCTGGGAATCGTGGTTGAATGTAAAAGGAACATGGGTCTCATGATCTTCAATAATCAAACGGGGCTTCACTATGTGTGGTCGTAGATCTATTCTGGGGAAGCTCAGGGAGAAAACGACTGGGGAGAGCCATGGCTTTGGCAGCAATAAAGTCCGTTAAGCAATATGTGAATACGCGCGCACGCGCCGAGCTGGCCGGCCGAAGGGCGAGGGGAGGCGCGCGCGCGGAGACCTTTTCTCCACTTGATTCACAAAGATATAGCTGCAGATAATACAGATGCACACATCATCGATAGGTCGGCGAGTATATATATATATATATATTCTAGAACCATCGCGCGCGCTTCGCGCGCGCTCAGGCTCTAGCCCAGGCCGGGGGGGCGCTGGACGATCTTGGACAACGCTATCAAGCACAGGCGCGCGACTGCATCTGAGGAGTTTCTGGGGTGCTCCGCATGCTTCGTCAACTGGCTGTTGGAGGCACCTCTTGGGTGCCTCTTGGGGAGGCGTCTTAGGGTCCCTTGGGGGCATCGGTTCTGCAATCTGAAGCCGTCATTGGCCGTCTTGGCTGCGTGGAGGCCCGACTTGAGGCCACCTGCGGCCAGATTGAGGCAATCCGGAAGCCTCCCAGGGGCCTCCTGGAAGCAGTTTTGATGCATTTGGGGCACTCTTGGGCTATTCTAAAACCTCTTGTACGTCTCCCAGGGGCCTTTTGGGCCCTCGGGGAGCTTTTGGGGTCCTCGTCGGACCACTTTGGGGCCTCTTGCAGCCTCCTGTGGGCCTTGTGGGGGGACCGCTCTGCTGTTGGGTCG